CTCATCACATTTGGCGTCGTTGGCAGGACCTCGCTTGCAGAACTCGACTCTCGCGAGTCTGTCGCGAATTTTTCTCATTCAGATTGGGCACGCGCGAACAACGGAGCGAACCGGTGTGTGATGCCGCCATCCGTTATCTTCAACTCGGCCAGCCTTCGGCTTTGCCGCCGGGTTTTCTTGATCACATCCCGTTACGCCGTCAACCGTTGTTTTCGGACATCCGCGAATTGGCTGTCAAAGGCTGTCTGCATGTCGATGATGATGGCGTGGTTCTCCTCGTCCGGAAACCTTCTAACATTCCGTCTGCTTCGTCCACGCGCCTTGGCGGGCGTGCGGCGCGTCTTCTGAATGATGAACCTGTTCGCATTTCATGTTCCCATATTGATGCGCCCGTGGATTATGCAGCTGTGCCATGCCGATGTATCATGTCACTTTGGTGCTGCTCGCACATTGTGTATGTTGGAACGTTTTTATCGGTGGGTGGGCATGAGCGCTTCTACTAAATGGTGGATCCGCCATTGCCTGCGCTGTCAAGCTCGCAAAACGTCTCGGCACACAGCGCGGTGGCCTATTTTGAGCATGCCGTTGCCTTCAGGACCTGGCATCTCCGTGAGTGTCGTTTATTTCGACCCTCTACCAACTACTCCTCGGGGCAACGCGTATATCCTGCTCTTCACCGACCGTTTCAGTCGACGTGCCGACATGTACGCCGTCATGGCCGCTGAGTTTACTGCCGAAGGCACTGCAGATATATTGGTCAATCGGTACATCCCTTTGTGGGGTTGCCCTGCGAGCCTCTTGTCTGACAATGGCACGCAGTTCTGTTCCAAACTGTCGCGCGCGGTCTACAAGCTTCTCGAGGTACGCAAAGTGGCGACTAGCGCCTACCACCCCATCGGTGATGGCGGTGTCGAGCGCGTCAATCACACTATGGCACAAATGCTTGCCATGGTAGTCAACGAACGGCAACGACTGCGATACTCGCCTCCTCCACGTGGAGTTTGCGTATAACAACTCTGTCTAGGCCGCCACCGGTTTAGCGCCGAATGAAGTGCACATGAACCGCCGGCCTAGACGGCCGATGACCGTTCTCGAGCATCCTTAGCTCGGGGTCATAAAAGTTTAGATCGTGATCACCTCGAATATTGCAACCTTGCTGCCGATCGCCAGCGTCGTGCTTACGCGCTGGTGCGGGAACAGCACGCCTTGTCCGTCTCACGGATTGAGCGTCGCAATTCCGCTCTTTTGGATGCTTTACACAAGCTTCCGACTTACACCGTCGGCGGTTGGGTTTGGGTGTACAACTCCGAATCCACCATTCGCTCAGGTGTTCGGGCCGGTACTGATGATAAGGTACTCAAAGCGAAACTTTCTTTACTGTGGGCTGGTCCATTCAAGATTTTGGCTGTTGGCCCCTGTCTGAAGGCTCCCGATGGCAGCTAAGTTGCTGTTCTTGGACCTTCCATCGGACCTGCCAGGCACAGACTCAAAGCGTCGTGTTTCGGTTGCGCGTTGCAAACCGTGTCTCAACCCGCATGACGCCACTGATATGCCTCGGTTTTTGCCTGCCAGGCTCACTCAGTATGTCTTGAACAACTACACGAACAAATCTCCTCCGTACCATGTGACGGAAGACGACGTGTCGACTCCGGTCGAACGACTGGAAGTGGACCAAATTACTGGTCATCAATCTGTTCGTGGTCGTGGTGGTATCATCGCTGTCTTGTATCAGACATGCTGGAAGGTCTTCTCCGTCCTTCTTGGGAACGCGAGATGGACCTTCAGCACTCCAGATCCCACATTCTCCGGTATTGGACGGGTTCGCCCGACCAACATCGACCAACATCGCCAGACAAACCGGCGGTATCGCGCCATGCGCATTGGTGCCGCTGCTCGGGAATTGGCACATGCTAAACGAGAGCGGTACTTGCCTTCGGGTTTTCCTTTGTCTCTCGTTCTATTTGTGACCGTCGCTTCTCCGCTGCTTCTCTTCCTGTGGGCGCCTTCTTCTGGTATAAGGCTCGAGATGGATTCTGGTGGCTAGGCAACATCTCTGGGCCTACTCTACACGAAGACCACTACATCGTTCGCTTCCTTGACGAGTCTGGGCCGGTCAAGATCGCCCTCTCCGCTGCTCGTTATGCTACCGCCGCAAATGCCGTGTGCGGATCGTGGTGCCTCCAAGTCCACCGTGGTAGCGCTTTCCTCAAGGGCATTCTTCGTAATGTTGATATGTCGCGTGGTGCTGAGGCGGGTGGTCCGTTTTCCGGCGATCCTGCGCGCACTCATTAGTTAGCGCTTGAGTGTGTGATGTTATTTTGTTTTCATCGTTCAGTTGTTTGCGGTTCCGCCTGTCTGTTTTGCAGTTTTAGGGTTGGTGGTTTGGCTTCCCGCCTTCTTTTGTTCGTTTGGGATCTCCGTCCATGTTTTTTTTTTTTTTGTGACCTTTGCATAGGTGTTGCGTTTCGTTTTGTTACGACCCCTTTTTCCGTCTTTTGGGCGACCGTTTTGCTGTCGATTTGGTGCATCGTTTCGTTATAGCAATGGTTTTCGTTTGTACTGCTACGATTAGGGCAATTGGTTGGTACTACGACCCCTTCCTTTCGTCTCTGCGATGTTCGGTTTTCCACCGTTGGTTTGGTACGTCGTTCTGCTCTTTCTGTTTCTTTGCTTTGGTCGGTCTGCCGGTTGGATTTTTCTTTTCGGCGATCGAGTTTGGTCATGTCGCCTTCCCTTATGATACGGTCTTTTCGTTTGTTTTCAGTTTGGGCTTCTGCTTTTATTGCGTTTTTGTTCAACACTTTCTTTCACGTTCGTGTCATGACGATGGTCTTTGTCCATCTAATGTAGGGTAACTTGCTGAGTTGTGGAGTTTCGCATCTATCTTCGATTCATTTTCGAATTTTGGATTTGAGTTGGTTATATCTTGGGGTTTTCCATGTATCTGTATGTACGAACCTCCAGGGTGGGCCAGTGTTATGGGATTTTATTACAAGGATATGAACGGCAGTACTCAGCAAGATATCTAGATCTGGCGGGAACTGCAACTCCCTAGGATTATTGTTAAACAGGAGATATTGCCTTAGCGGCCCCTCCCTGTTTGGAGCGGCCCGCAGCCCCCCCTGCTGCTCAGTCTATCTACGGAGCTAAGAACAGCAAGTGTGCTGCTGTGTTGAAGGATAAACAAGAAAGAGAACAAGAACAAAGAGAGTCATCATCAGGGTCTTCACGGATTGCTACGCATATATCATCACACTAGCATGGCGGATGGCGAGAGTGTTTTTATTTCTGAACGGATACAAGATCACGCTTGCGCAGCTGTGATGTGTTTATCTGCCCCGTGGGAGCGTTTAAGAAACCGTAGACATACAGGTACTTTCTGACGCTATGAATTCATTGCTAATCTGTCTCAGACTCTTTTCTATGATAGAGATGGATTCGTTGTGTCATATTAAGAAAAAAACGGAAAAACAAAAATCCGATGACATTCGTCATTTTAAGGCCATGAATCGGGGCGGGACTGTTTTCAATCCAAAAATTGTCTTCACAGATGTGTGGCTGCCTGCAGACGGAGCATTCGTCGAACAGGCAGAAATCTCACTGCACTCTCATGTGGAAGAATGTACTTGATGAAATTGCTTCCTGGGTTCCACGAGAAGTCATCGGTCCACGTGCAATAGTCAAGTCGAAAATAAACGCGGTCCCCCTGCACAATTACGGCCATACCCGGCGCACCCGAGGTCCCCAAATGTTGGTTTAAAGGCGGTGGAAGCGAGCGATTGAGTGGCATGCTCATGTCGGAGGCAGTTTTTACGACCACATGCTGTGGCGTCACGCTAAGGGAAGCTGTCGCGTTTTGCACAATGTCACGGTCCCTGGTTAACCAGTTCAATATCGTGGGCAGGGCAACCTGTTGCACGAACGCTTCAAAGACGAATGGCTCTCCTACCACACCACAAATTTGTGTTGTTTGAGTACCTCAAATTTACTCGTCTGCCTGCTGCCAAGACGACCAATCGAAGCCATCAGTCTGATTCTCTACCCTCTGGGCCAAGCTTTTAAACCTCATTGGGTCTCTCCCCCCGCTGTATTTGCTATGGGCACGCCACTCTCCGGGTCGGAACGAACGTTTGTCTCTACATATCAGACCCTCGACCAGAGGGAGTTTTGCCCCGATGATACGGGTTCCAACCATCCGTTTGTAGGTGCCGTCGTCGCCGGCAGCCTTGGCGATCTTGGCACGTTTGAAGGCTTCTCTGGCCGCCCTTGCCATCTCGATCACCCCCGCGCGCTCCTCTGGTGTGAGTTCCCTCTCCGGCTGCAAACGGAATACGGTAGACAACAATTGGTGTTGTTTAGTTTCACACGATTAGTATTTACGCTGCACACTGTTTTATTCTGACTCCCCTACACGTGAGCGTAGCACTCTCTCACCTTCTCTTTGTACTTGCCCCGTTTTTTAGGGGCAGCCGTATAGCTCCGCCCGCGGTGAAAGCAGGAGCGCGTCCCTCTGCTGCTTCTCTCTCCCTCTTGAGCTTTGCAGTGGTGGCTCTCATGTGTTCCATTCTGAGCTCTCTCGCGAGGGCAGCCTCCTCAGCGTCGATGGTGTCCACGCGGCCGCCGCCGGAGGGAGGTTGGTCCGCGGACCCTGGGAACGGGGGAGGCACTCGCGCTATGTCCGATCCATTTTTCTTGTCCTCCCGGATACGCCACTGACTCATCATTTTCACCACCCCGCCATTGAAACTAACCGTGGTGATGCCGACGTACTTCATCCCTATATCTGAGCTCCTTTGGTGCGTGTTGTACACGCCGTGAATGTCCTGTGAAAAATTGGTGTGTTTCAAGTTAGTTAGTGCTGTATCGTTCACAACCATGCAAGGTACACTGAGCCTGCAGAACAAACGTTTGCAAAAAAAAACTGAAAAACGAGCTTACCTTGATACTCGTCCGCTGCTGTCTTGCTAGCTCTTGAAAAGCGGAATGGTCGTTCGCCAGGCCTATATCTCTAGCCCCTGCTCGACGGCGATGGTGTCTTGGGTGGACCACATAGCATTCACGCTCATATCCCCCACTCCGAAAAAAGATCGCCCGAGCTCCTTGAATACTTTACCGAACACACCCACTGGGCTCATCTGCGCTCCGTTTGCCTGCAGAGGCCCGAACATGCAGCTCACTTTCCCCTTGTTGTGCTTCTTGAGCATCGTTCTCCCAACAAGAGCCATCACCATGCACCACCTGACGACCCCGTGCCCCTCGATGTCATGAACCTTACACGCGTTGCACAATTCTCTATCGGCGTCATCTGTCTGCTTGAAGAGGCATCCCGATCTTGAGTAGACTACTCCTTCTTCGCCAACCTTTTTGTCGAACCAGATGGTTTTGAATTCCAAAGCGAAGAAGTCCTCAGGGCGGATGGATGCTGCGCACATAATGATAGCCAGCATACAAGCCACACTCAAGACGCTGAAGGGTCGACACGTGATACCGGCGACCTCCATCTTGTCCACCAGTCCAGCGACTCTTTTCTTGCCTTGTTCCACGGTGACCCCCATCTCTCTATCTCTCACTTGCTCGCGAGTGCCGCCGAAAAGATGGTCGATCCCCTTGATGTCATCTCGATCGAAGGAGGTAGACACGCCTTTCGCTTCTGCGAGACGCTCCACCCCCCAGTCAATGAACTCTGAATCAATCTTGTCAATGGCTTCCATCACGGGGCGGATCCCGTCGACGAACACGAGACGCATGTATATCTCGAGGTTCCGCTCCCTATCCTCTGGAGAATCATCCACCAACCCGATCCTGCACTTCCGCTGTTTGCTGGATTCTCCTGTGCTGCCGTTGATCACTGCGTCCCACGATGTCCGCTCGTTTCGTGTCTTGTCGAGGATGCTCTTGCTAATTTTCTCAAACATACGCTTTGCCGCCTCTTCACAGGGGTCGTTTTCCAAGATTTCCAGGAGGAGATGTCCACCGTTACGCGTCAGGCACATACCCCCTGTGCCCGACGAGCTAGGGGCGAGCCTTCCAAGGATGCCAGAGTCCCGCTACCCGATCATGTGGATCAGCACCGGAACGACGGCGGACAGTACCACCTTGGCTCGCATGTTGGTAAAGCGCAACGCGTACCCCTTGGCGCCAGCGAGTTTATTCGGCGTGGCGTCGAGAGTCCACTCGTGGGCCAAGTATGCGTCACCAGCACCCTTTTTCAAGTTGGGCGAGCACTGGGGATGGTGTTTTTTCACGACCTCCAGCTCTGACTGTAACAAAGGGACATAACCCTCGAGCAAATTCGTCGGGCATCCTTGCCGGTACGCAACGGTGAGCATACGAATCACGGTCGACAGCCTTGCAGACCATGCGCCATTAGTGTGGAGAGGTTTGGGTGCTTCCGAATAAGGCACCATCACAATATCCCCGCTGAACAAGCTTCCTTCCACCATATCCTTTTATCATTGGGAACGATCCCGAGGCCACCCAGGAAGTTTAGCTTGGCCATCGATCCGTGTTCTTGCGCGAACCGGTGCAACTCGGTAGCCTCGCCATTCATGTCGCTTGGCCAGAAGCCCGCTGTAAGAATGTCCTCCACCGTGGGGCCAGTGAAGACTCGAGCATGAGAGTCTGCCGCTCGACGAGACGCTCCTTTAGCGCCATCAGCTCCGACAGGCCCATTTCACTGTCGCTTACTTCGCAATAGTCGCCCTCGAGTCATGCAATGGTATCATCGACGTTCCATAGCATCCCGTGTGACATTAGCTTAGAGTCTCTCTCGGACGGCACGGCACGAGCCATCATGAAGGTTTGGACTGTCACTAGATGTTGAATGAAGCGCCGACAATCGTCATCGAGCGTCACACCTCCGTCGAACCTGTTCTCCAACAGCTCCCACTGTCCAATCTCGGGCCCGTTCTCCAGCCTATACTTGCCGGCCTCGAACGACTTCACGTCCAGCTTCCGCCCGCCGATCTCGACATTTGTCTTGTTCAGAATCACTTCGATGTGTCGCGGGTCAAACATGTAGGCCACGTCGTACGGATGCTTCAGCTCCGTGAGGCGGGTACGGTCAAAGTAGACCCCATTTTTGATGGCAAGATCACGGTTGTTAGGTTTCTCCGTCAGCCCCGTGAGTATCTTAGCGATTGCCGAAACCGTCCCCACCCCATACTCAGTACGTCCCGCTGTATTTACCGTCTTTCTTCGTTGTTTCATCGTCGCATCCGACTGCGCCCGTTTTGCAGCGACATGCTTCGTGTCACTCGCCTCGTGCTCCGGGTTTGGTGCTGTAAATATCCTCCCCAACCCCGGTGCGTCCACGCGAGCCTTTCCAAGGGGCGGTTTTGTCCCCGATGGCCTTTTCGGGTGCGACGTGTTATTCGCGCGACCGCTGATGGAGCCACTGTCGCTGTCGCTGTCGCTGTCGCTGTCGCTGTCGCTGTCGCTGTCGCTGCCACAGCTGCTGATGTCATCCCCGCCGCTGCTACCACCGCTGTTACCACCGCTGCTGCCACCGCTGCTGATGTCCCCCCCATCGCCGCTGCCATCATCACTCCCACCACCATCACCGAATTCACCGTCGCCGCCGCCATCATCACCCTCATCACCGGCGCCGGCGGGGCAACGCGCACGTTTGTTGGCAAGGTCACTAGGAGGGGCACAGCTGGCCTTGCGTTTTGCGCCACACCACCTTGGAACAGCACAGGACCCTTGGAAGTTTCTATCACTTCGCGCGGCTCGGGATGTCAGTGTAATTGAGTGGACGTGAGATGCGCAGGTCGGAGTTGATCCCCTCTCTTTGGCGCTTGCCCCTGGGTTGACCGCTTGGGGCGCCCACCTGCCACCTGGCATCACGTCCCCCCTCTCCTGCCGCGTTCCCTGGAGAAGGATGGGGCAAACAGGAGAAGGGGGTTGCGAAGCTAGTTAGGCTCGCGTGATGGTCTCCGAGGCACAAACTATTTATCATAACCTTCGTGTAGAAATGGTTTCACGGCACGGCTACCTTGTCTCACCTCTCAACTCACAAGGACAAACCATACCTGATCGCCCTCGTCGTCCGAGCTCGCCCCGCCTCGGAGGCAGCTACGCGACCGCCTGCGAAGCCCCCCCGCGATGGCACGTCTGGCCAGACGCTTGCGCCGCAAAGCCCTGCGGCGCCTCTGTTCCTTGCAGCGACGCGGGACACCGCGCTTCTTGTTTGACTTTCTCGGCATCCTCCGTCCACGCTTCCACGGCCTCGTCGTCCTGGTTCACTACCGCCACAGCGTCTTGCCGAGGCAAACCTCCTCCTCCTCATCATCATCCCTGCCTCCCGCTTGCATGCTGTTGTGGACGATGTAGTTATCTTCGCAACTCCAGAAACCGTCATCCGACCAATCATGAGACGTCCAGCGCTTCCTGGGTGCCGATGAGCTGGGACTCGGTGGCTCGGCCGTCGAGTCGGGGAACGTGGCATCGATGCCGACGTCGATGTCACGGGGCTGTACAAGAAAAATGATGAAGACAAAATACACGCGCGAGAGGGGGTGTACTTCAGCGATTGAGCGGATTGATTTTGCACCACAAACAAAGCCATTTACTGAATATAAATATGGTCCCACAGGCGAAACAACGTCCCACACACGCCTTGGTGGCGAGTTTCTCCAGTGAAGCGCGGACACTCTCCTCGATAGAGTCCTGCACATCCTCAACATCACCGGTGGTCCAGGCGTCGTCCTCATCCCTTCCCGCCTGTCAAAATATGCAAAGTGAGTTTGAGAGAGAGTGCGAGAGATGTAAATCCACTGCCTGCACACGAGAACCACGTATTCACCACCGGGGACAACGAAACGAATCAAAAATGCATGATTAACTCAAGTTGAGCACGGCGATAAACCAGTGTCCCTCGTCGTCGGCCGCCATGCATTTCTCGGTGGACCCTTGGATGCACTCTGCCCGCACATCAATCTCCCGCCCGATACCCAAGTCGATGCCGAGCCCCCCTGATAGTGCGCGAATAGCCCTGACGCCTGCGTGCCCTCCCCCGCCGAGTACAGGGTCGACGTACGTTATGACGTTGACGAAGTCGGCGGCGTTGGTGATGTGCTTGTTGAAGTCTGGGGCAGTCTCCTGATGGCTTCCTCTTCGTTCGCCGTCTGCGGCCCTTCCAAGTCTCCAACGATGACGGGGTCTTTGGACACGTTGAACGCCGCTACGGTCAGACAACGGAGAGCGGCGCGTAGACGGGCGAGCTGCTCCTTGTCTCCGGCCAAGAAAGCATGTTCGACCAGACCAACGGCCCATCCTTCCCCAACCGCGAATCCCTGCGCCGTACTGTCAGCCCAACAGTGTCCTCTCCTACCATTCTTCAGGTAACGGAAATGCATGTTTCACTTGACTTGACCTTACACGGGGGGCATAGCATCGGCAGTACACGGGGGATGCATAGTAGACAGAGAGAGGGCGGTTAGTAGGGTGGGGAGGATGCATGGGCGGGTGGCCGATGCCCCGTCTGTTTGTGCAACAGATAAATAAAGCGGTCAGTGGGGAGCCGTGCTTTCTCATTTATCTAAAGAATATATGTGATGGGGGCCGATGTCCCGTCTGTGTATGCAGCAGATAAATATAGCGGTCAGTGGGGAGCCATGATTTCTCATTTATCTATAAAATGTATGTGACGGGGGCCGATGTCCCGTCTGTTTATGCAACAGATAAATATAGCGGTCAGTGGGGAGACGTGCTTTCTCATTTATCTATAAAATATACGTGATGGGGCCGATGTCCCGTCTGTTTATGCAGCAGAGGGGGTTGTGGATGTGTCGTAAACGGAGAGAGGGACGTGGCGTGACTTTGTGGGCCCATGTCAAACATTTTTCAGGTTTAAAGAACATTTTCAAATTTCGAAAAACGATTTTCAAAACTGTTTGTGAACAGCGCATGACCCCAAAACACGCCTTCCAGACGCCGAAAACCCGCATATTTATGCAATAGATAAATGGAGGGCCCTCCACACTTTATGTAAGTGTTTTTATTTTTTTCGTTTATGTTTTGGACAAATTTTGGGCTCTGGGAGCGTTTGTCGCGTTTTCATTTATTCCAAGGCATGTACGGGACCGTTTGGCCATGCTGATGCTCGGGCACACCACCACAGCCTTGTTGGGTGATTGCTGCACGCCGCTGTACGTTGTAAGATCAAACACACCATTCATTGGTGCCAACCTCAATCGGTGGTTGGTACCGCACAGCGTACTGGCGAGTTTCGTCGTGTTGGCGCAGAACAAATTTGTGAGTTTTGAACGATAGGGCAGACGACCCTGGAATTGTTTGGCTGGCACAAAGTGTTTCAGTCTCACAGATGTATTTGTCTCTTCCAGGGGTGGTCTTGATTGATTGGGAGTTTGGCTGGCATAAAGTGTTTCAGTCAGCATTGTCTCTCATTATTTCCCCAAACTCAAACAAAAAACACCCCGGGGGGGTATCCAACCCCCCCACCACACCACAACACCACCACAACAACAACGGAACCGTGACAGTACCATACATACATCCTGTATCCACCTCGCCACAGGACACGTGTTCATGCCAATTGGCCAGCGCGGGTGTGTATTGAAGACATGGCCGTGGTTCTAACGGTCCCAAGCAGTAGACTAGCCTGTAGCCTATGTCGACAGCATGAACGAAGTTCGGCACGATCCACGATCCATGATCCGGGTAAATGTTCATCCTCGTCCATCCGCGATCCGGGGCGATCTTTCATTCCACCGTGCAGCACCATGGTATTCACCTCACGGCAAGCAAGCCCAAACTACGCGTGTGGGTGTGTGGTGTGGGTGTGGTCTTGCACTCTGGATACGTGCCAAGGCATGGAAAACACGCCTTCCCTCAGTCCAAGGCATATGCGAGTTGTCACAGCTGTTGTTCTCCAATTTCGTAGCAACCCAATGCGCGTAGTTTTGCACGCTGCACAGAAAATCTTACCCTCGTCTGTTTTCTCTACATCAGACTGGGTACTAGGCGTTGT